CCGAAAAAAAAAAAAAAAAAAACTTTTAGGTATTAAGGAATCTTTCACGAAATATATTTCAAATTGCCTATTATTAAATGCCTACGTACCATTTCACTATATCATTATTGGCTTTTATTCTCTTGTAATACCATATACGTAATAATATAGCGGAGTGAAGGGATTTCAGTAATATTCGGGCCGAAGATCAGCTATTATAGCTGCTTTTATCCCGAAGCTATACGACGGTATATGTAGTTTTAGATTATGTACAACGCGATCGACAGTAGCGGCGTCATCGGGGGTTGCTTCGTGACCAGGTCAGGTGAGCGGGTGCGTGCGTGGAACATTATCATTAGATGAGTTAACGAAAAAGTTGAAGTACAGGGACGTCTTGTAGCATTGGTTATAGCAACCGATTTTTTTTTTTTTTCGATTTTATGCTTGAGGTGTTTTTTGCAATTTTACAGCAAATTGCTTCATAGGGAAAAAACTTCACGTCGCCACTCGAGATGCGAGTGTTTTTAAATAGTTCTTTTGGCGGTTTTTAATAATATTTTATGGTTTCAATCTCTAAAGATTAGTCACGCCGCCATTACTAAATACACCAGAGATTACGAACTGGCCATAATCTATTTAAATTGAGACTCAACCGCAGCACGTATTGCACGTATTGAATTCGACTGCGGTGTGGCTAACTGCGATTTCAAACATTTGCTTCTAAACTGTCCATCTCTGTTCCACCATAGAACTCAATTGATGCTCTTTTTTTCTTCTCTCTGTGTCGTATTTTCCCTTACGAATGCTCTTTCAGCGTACAATACACATATAATTAGACACATTCTTAATTTTGTATTTCAATCGGGTCTTAAAAACTAGTTGTATGAACTTCACCTATTTATCTTCTTACTATTATCAATTTTAATTGTCGAGATATAATAATTTTTTGAAATCGCATTGATATTAAAAAAATAGAAAAATAAATTTTTCGGCGCGATAAAAATTTCCAAAAATTTATTTTTAGAAAGAATGGCGAGTAACGAATTTCCCCGCTTTCTCGCGATGCTTTTATACTTTGTGCGATTTTTATGTAATCATGACAGTTCGTTATTATTATTTTTTCGATAACGGTTTCTTTGAAGACATTTTTAATTACTTATTGTTCATTATTCGTTATTAGCAGCGTATTCATTAGTGTTAGATATTTCTTAGATTGTTAGATTGACGTTTTTTTAAGTTTTTTTTTTTTTTTGAAAAGTTTTGTAATTTTTCTAAAAATTGAAAAAATTAACAAGGAAATCATGGATTTCGTTCAAATCTTTATACACACACGGTCGTAATAAATATTCTAAAAAATTTCGATTATTGAACTTTTTCCCGTTATTTGTCGAGACGTGATTTTTTACGTCATAGGTATTGTTTTTAAATTTCTAATATAACCGTGATCGTTTTTCCCCGCAGCTTTTGATATCATTTTTTTAGTGACCTACATTATACAAATATCTCCAATTCGTTTCTTCAAGACGTTTTTGACAAATATATTATATTTTACATACATCAACAGCGAGAAACATTTATGGGTACACATAGCTCTTGAACGTTTCCCGAATAATATTTTTCTTGAGTAGTACAATGCAATCAATCTAATAAATCCAATTTATTTCGATTCCGAGAACGTATGATTTTTTTTTTTTTTTCAGAAGCGATTTAAACCCTGATTTTTTAAATTTAAATATAAAATGCCACGGTCGACAGCACCGTGTTTTGCTTTGGAAACGAAAATCGTTTCACTATTTTTTATTTATATTGTGTGGTCTTATTACGTCGTTCGTATAAATTCAACTTTACATAAAATAACTTTACATTTTAGAATATAAGCGTAACGAGGTAGCTACAAAGGTTTTACGGAGAAGTGTTTTTTCTCGTTTAATACATTTTTAATGGTTAGTAAATATACTTTGATTTTTTCATGTCTTTCATCTTAAAAAATGCGAAATGTTCGTTTGATGGTACTTCAAAGTTTATTTGAAACAATTTTCGAAATTCCCAATAATAATTTCTACAGATTTTTTTTTTTATTTTTAATAAAAAAATATTTAAGAACAATATGCCACTAAACATAATAAGCAATTTGATAACATAAAGTACACAATAAACATAAAATGACACAATATGAGGTCGCCATCCAATGACAAAACTCAATTGGTTTTTTCTTTTATTTTCCCAGCAGATTTAAACACCAATTTTTTAAGTGTTGATTTGTACGCATTTTCTTTTTGTTAAGGCTTTTTTAATTAGGCAAGTGCTTATTAACCTACATCGAAATATGTGTAATTTTCGATCGGCGGTACATTATTTGAAACATTTATCGACATTTTCATTAGTTTCCAACCAAAGTACTTTTTATAGTTGTTTGTTTTTTTTTTTTTTTTTTTTTTGATTTATGGGTTACCTCGGAAACAAGCCAAATGCACGACAATATTATTCTACTCAGCTCAGAATCGTTTTTTGTTTGAAATTATTTATCGTTGTACCAATATAGACTAAATTATCCTGTATATATCCTACCTTATCAACTATAAATGTGGCCTACTCAAGAGTAGTATAAACATTTTTAATACCCATTGTCTTGAAATTGTTTTGTAAATGTATCGTAGGTACTACATAATCAATAGTTCATAATCCATAACTGTGTGCCGTGTTTTTAATTAATATGGCCGAATAAACACCTCTGTTAACCCGTGCAACTTGTTTTTCTCGGAACGTATACGTTCAATGTAACAAAGGCGTATAAAATATTATGGATCAAGGATCAAACTCGAAAACTAACTTTGTAAACTAATCCCCGTATACGGTATTATAAATATTTGTACACGATATAATTTAATTAAAACGATATGATTTACGAAGACAACTTTGATACACATTATTTATATCCGTAGCGTTTGTTTTCATTAAATCGCGAGCAGTTTCTTCTTTAGTGAACCATAGACCGTAAACTCTAATTAAAAAAAGCGTTCCGAGTTTGATAAACAAATACTACACCTATAGGTATACCAAATTATTGCACGATTTTACGCTTAACTCCCGTTATTAATTTTAGATTCTGAGTGTAGCGAACGGTTTTATAATGACATTTATTTATTTTTCTACGGACAACTTTTCCATCAGCATCTTGAGTGATAGCAATTATTCTGAAAGTAAATCGGACAGGGGGGGTTAATTTAGAGAAGTCGTTTTTTGATTTTCCCAGGAAATTTACCAATAAATGGGAAAAACGGTAAAACAGGTACAAATATTATTACAGAAAACACATTATGCATATGTTATTATTTTACCATCATACGATATTTATATATATATATATATTGTTGACAAAGCAACACTGTCAACCGAAATCCGCTCAGAACCGTTTTTTTTTTTCGTTAGCAACGGTTTATTGTTGCTTGCAGATGTACATTAAATTATCTACGTATATCAGTGGTTGTACCCAACCCCATTATTCTAGGACAGCTTTTTTTATTATCACTTTTGTCCGTCTATAAATCTCCACGTTACTATAAATTATAATCTACCTGTATTCATATAGTCCTTACATACATATGATATTTATTGAACGTTAAATTATCAAATTGAATCAATCGTAACACGCGGTGTTTTAAGTGGCAAAAACTTCTAAGACGGAAATATTAACCGACAATATTGAAAAGCGTTCCCGACTAACTAACTAAATCGAACTAAATCAAACTTTCACGAAACCCATTATAGAGACGAGACATCCAAAATAGTTTTCTCTCACACACATTTGTTCATAAAAATGTTATACTAATACAGTGGTTTCCAAACTGGGAGTAATTACCCACCAAGGGGTAAAACATGATCTTTTTGAGGGGTTAAGACCACCTAATCTCGTTAATTTTAGACACCGAGAGTAGCGAGGGAGCTATTGGTTTTACAATGCTGTTTATTTTTTCTTTGTTCTTGGCTATGGACTATTATTTTTTCCTATTAAACTTGCTTCGATGTAAGTATAGCATCTTTTATAAAAACTCAAGTTGTCTTAATTGTACTTTAAAGAGGTCATTTTTTGATTTTCGACGCTATTTTTTAAATAAAAACACTTAAGTGAGAAAAAACATAGGAAAACGTAAAATTTTACGATTTCATTATTTTTTAAAAACTCAGACAGCGTTTTCTACCAGAAAAAATAAATGAAATAACCTTATGTATCCTACCTTCTCAATTTCCCGTCTACAGCAGTGGCTGTACCCGTCCCTAGTATCAGCTCGCTTTTTTTTTATTTTATACATTTTTTACCTAATATTATTAACTCTGCTTCAGTCATGTATGTACTACGGTAGTAATAGTTTTTTAAATTTTTTTTTTTTGGAGAAGGGTTAGAGGGACATTTTTTAATATCAATTCTGATTTAGGGGTAATAGTCTCAAAAAAATTTGGTACCGCTGTACTAATAGTATTTTAATATAAACTACACCCTTTTCAATTTATATTTACTCTTTCTATAGACGTATCTTTTGACCTATTTTTAGCCATTTAAACATTTGTTTAGTTTTTCTTTGAGTTTATGTGAATATTTTTTTTTGCTTTGAAATTATTTATAATATGTTCTTTGTAAGTTCTTAAAAAACGCTAAATTATTTGGCATGTAATAAAACAGAAAATCGCTATTTTATTTTGTATAGTTATACAAATAAATACAATTCGCAATTTAAGTTAATTAATGCACAATTAACCGATCTTCGCTCGGAATCAATTTTCGTGATCTATGAGTTATCGTTCCGTTTAGACATATATTACCAATTATGTATCCTATACTTCTCCAACTTCTCACTTATATCAGTGGCCTACCCATGATGTATACCTACTGCCTATTTTTAACAGTAAAAGTAAAACAGTGTATTGTTGGCGAATAATCGATAGTAATATTATTAGAGGTAATTGCCTCTCTCTCTCTCTCTCTCTCCCTGTGAATAATACAAAATGTAAATTTATTCGGTAAAAATGTTTTTCGTCGTTTATTTGAACGTCAAAAATAATTACAATAATAAATAATAAATAATAATAATGATATATATAAATAAATAAATAAATAATAATAATAGGTGATTGTATGTTCGATTAATAATAAAATAAATTAATATCGTGAGATCCAAAACGTGCAGGTTTTTTTTTTTTTTTTTCTGTTGTTCAAATCGATGAGTTTTTGATTTATTAATAGGCCGCTGTTCCCACCGCAGCGTCCGTCGACGGAGAGTAAACGTTCGTACACGGACAGGAATCGGCAGTGTTGTTGGCCACCCAATTCAAGTATCTGTTCACTCTGGAGTACACTCCGGGTCGGTTGGCTTGGGCACATCCTTCGCCCCAAGACACCACACCTGCGCAGGGAGTAACGACAGGTAACAATAATACACTTTAAAACTCGGACCGCGATCACACGTCTGTATAACACATCCTTGGTACCCGGGAAAAAAAGTCAATGGTAAATGTGCGTATGGTTTTCAATAGAATTAGCAAATTAAATTATGACAATTGCTGAACGGCTCAATTGTTTAAAAAATACGACGTTTTCGTTAAACGTAAAGTACCGGTATCGATTGAGATTTGCGGTATGTACGAGAAAATTAAGGAGAGGGGGTAGGGAAATGGAATATATATAGAAAAAAAAAAAACCACGACGAAAATCGACCCTTGAATTGTTTCCCGGGACCCAAAGGCGTAATGACGTTACACGACGGTGAAAACCCACTTACCGACTATGTGGTAAGCCGTGTTGTTGGCGATGTGCATCGGTCCGCCGCTGTCACCCTGGAGATCCGAAAGATAAAAGACAATTAATATTATTAATCGTTCGATTAGGTACCTAGGCACTCGGCGGCACTAGAGTTTTAAGCGTTTGGCATATTGTTCGACCGCGACCGCGTTTCTAATAACAATATTATCGGTCGGTCCCGCGGGTGCGCTGCGCGAACCCTCGTCCGAATTAACGGCCGCGCGCGCGTCAATTCCGACCGTCCCGACCGGATAAATTTAATTCGGAGTTTCGGGTCAGGCGCAAGTACCCGGGACTTTGTAAAAGCCGGATTCCCGAGGACCCGAGAACCCCTCGATCGACCCGCCATTATTATGCCGCGGACCGACGACGGCAATTATTATTATTATTATTATTATTATTATTATAATATCGTACGCCGTTGCCGACGTCAATCGTTTCGGAGACGACCCCGGCGGGCGTGCAAACGGCAATACGCGCGAAATAATCGAAAACGTCCGATCCGACGTCCGGAATCGTCGTGATGCATTGCGAAAACTGTTCGCGATTGTTACTTTGGCGTCGCCGTAAACCGTACTCAACAATAACCGACCGTTAATTAATATCGGCGGGCCCCGTTGGAAATGTGCGCGCGTATACCGACCCACGTCAAAAAAGTTTTCATCGCAAACTGGAAACAAAAAAAAAAAACCAAAAAAACAAAACGAAAATCCGCATCGCTGTCGAACGAATATTACGCGCGCGATGACGCGGGTCATAGGCAGGCGCGGAGGACGTCGACGTGGCGGTTGCGCGCGAACGGTTTTAATTAATTCGGACGCGGCCGCTAATTAATGCGCGCGTACGATTCGTCCGTAACCGACGCGAAAGTACGGAACGCATTGTGTTTACCGCCCGGGAAAAGCGGCCGGGGGGTAGGGGGTAGGGGAGAGTGGGGGTAGGGGGGGACAGGTAGACGTGTACAGAAGTTGGGAAAGCGTCGGATTCAGTTGCGCGAGTATTGTTCGAAATAATATTATAATAATAATTATACACACGATTGCGATACAAAATGCGCGCGGGATTTAGCGAGACGGCGGCCGCGTTTTCTTCTCGAAATTAATTAAAACTTTTCGGCCGGTTATGCGTTACCCGAAAGGTATTGCCGTGCGCGTGTAAAATTATTATTTAATAACAAACATCCGAACCGCGACGACGGAAACCGTTCGCCGTCAACGGCGACGACTGCGTGGTTCGGCACATAAATAATCGTCTGCGTCAATGACGTCGCGATAATTATTACGGCCCTTCCGTAGCCGCCGACTGCGTTTGAAACGCCACCTAAACGCGCAACGGCCGGGTGCGAAACGCGCCGTTCTCTTATCGTTCCGTTATCGGACTTTTGCCGCCGCCGCTCGATCGCGATGCCGAACGCGGCGGGACCGAAAATCTTTTTCCGTCCTTACAGGGGTGGATGGGGGTTGGGGTGGAGAGAAAAACGAAAACCGTTCGAGTACTGCAATAGCCATTGTACTGGACGAATTACTTGGCACGAGTCCTTCTGGCCCTCCGGATACCCGGCGCAGATCATGTTGTTCGTGATGCGTTTCTGGTCGTATTCCGTCTTCCGGCAGTCGTCGTTGCTCATGATCGGCACGTACACTTCGTGCAGTATCTGCGACGAAGAGCCCCCTTGTTTTTTCGCTCCCCAACCGGTGATGACGCCCTCGTATCCGCTGAAACTTTTACCTGCGAACCGGACAAAACGGCATTACGGCCGGAACAATGCGTAATAAATCGTACGCTATCCGAACAGCTAGGGCGTAGGTTACCTTCGACCGGCAAGCAAACCGGATGTATACCGGTGTTGGGACCGAATTCCACGCCCTCCGTGTCCAATCTCAGCAGCGCGATGTCGTTGTTGTACGAGGTCGGGCTGTACCCCTTGTGCTTGATCACCCTGGACACTTTGAAGTCGATGTGTTTGGATTCGTCGTTGCTGCTACGGTCGTGTTCCAAAAGTCGTACGCCGATTTTTTTACCTTCGAACCTGTTGGCGATTTAATGCGATTTTTAATTCGATATTGTACCGTATTATCGTATCAGGCTCGAGTGGGAGGTGAATGTGGGGGGGGGGCGGATGTAGATGGCCGGTGTATCGGTGTTCCGGAGGAACGGACGAGGCATTTAAAACGCCCGAACAAACCGTGCGGGCGGGCCGATGCTTTCGGGTAACTCGCTCTCGAAATTCCTCCCGCACGTCCAACCGCGGACGACGGAATACGGTTTAAATACCGTCAATAGCGATAACCGTTTGAACCGTCTATTTTCCCGGGGGTTATCGGATCGGAAACCCGTGTTGTTCGTGGGGTTCTGTGTTTGAAAGGAAACGGCGCGTGAGCCGCCCACGTCGTTGTCGCGAGCGGCAAGGTCTCGAGTTTGTTCGGGGGGGGGGGGGGACGTTGAAAGATTTCCCGAGAATATCGCGTAAACACGTTCCGGCGGTCCGGCGATTCTCGTACGGATTGACGCGACGGGAGTTTGTACGGAAAACGCTCGGGACCGAACTCGGTTGACGATGATGACATTATTATGCGCGCATTAACGACAAGTCATTTCGCGGGCAAAGGCCCGTCGCTTTCAATATTATCGCGCTTTTACGACGCGTCGGCGCGACGACAGGACCCCTCGTCGGTCGTGTAACCCCCGCCGTCTCCGCCGACGTTAATCCCCCGTGATTTCGTGTTCGCTGTTGGCCCGCACTTACCCGTGCACGCAATGCGCGGCCGTCATGACGTATTTGTGGTTGATGAGCGAAGCGCCGCAATAGAATTTTCCCTTGTAGGTGAGCATCGCCATCCAAGGGTACTGGCGCACGTACGTCGGATTGCCGCCCACGATTCGGTTTTTCGTGCCCAGCGCTCCGCAGGCTGTACAACAAGCGCACGTAACGTGGTGCGAGTATTTTTAATTAGAAAAAAAAAAAACAAATCGGAAAGGAAATCGTTATTTAGCATTGCCGTTGTACTCACTGCACGGGGGACACGTGCTCTGGTCGATCGGCGTGACCGGAGCCTCGGCAGCCGGTTCCTCGGTGTTGCTGATTATGCCGATGATGTTCTGCCACCAGTTGACGTAGTCCACGTACGCCGCCTGACTGAGTTCGCCGGCCGCGGTGTTGGCGTTGGCGTTGATCGGCACGTACACCTTAAAATTTCCGGGGAAAAAAAAACAAAACAAAACCCATTCCCCCCGCGTATGTAAGTCGTAGCCGTACGGTAAACGCGTATCGTCGGGGATACCGTAGACAAAATACAGGACCGGAGCGGACGGAAACACGACGGGAAAACGACTGTAGCCGGCGAGGGCAAGACCTCGCCGGCGGGGAACGGGTACGGAGCGGAGGACTGCGGGGACTCGGCGGATGATCACGGTGTACTCTCGGAGGAGCGGGGAACCGGTCTTAAAGGAGCGGCCGCCCCTCCGAAAAGAAGGCGAGCGGCAAAGAAGGATCGTACGGCATTACGGTTATTGATGGTTGCTCACCGGGATCCGTTGATGGGACGCGGCGACCAGCGTCACGGTTATCAAGCACAGGGCGGTCCACATGTTGTCGTGTATCGCGGCGCTTGTTGGAGTCGTCCCGTAGGATACGTTGTGAGCACCGAAAACCGAACGATCGCCGGACGTTCGAGAGCGATTGTGTCGTGCGATATCGGGCGCTGTTGTCTGTTCGGACGAGTGAACCGTACTGATCAATCCGAACACCGGACACGAGTATTTATATCGGTATCACACGCGTAGGACAATAATAACGATAATAATTCGCATCGTTCGTCGCGCGGACGATCGGACGGCCGTGCGGTCTCGCCGTCCAATACCGAGGTCGTGATCTTGTAACGCCCGGTACCCGGTACCGGGCCGTCCGCGGCCGTTATCTCGGCGCGCCGTTTTTTTTTTTTTTTTTTTTTTTTT